CTATACTGCTATTCATGAGTTTGATGTTGTTCGATCCAAAACAGATGCCTAATGTGGTCAGCACAATGTTTAAGTTTGTAAGGCGGATGGCTAGTTGGCTAGTAGCTGAGTAAAATCCATTTTATACAAAATGATATATTAGTGATCCTTCTACAGTTTCAGATTTGCAGTTTTAACAACCATGTCTTTTGCTAGGATGCTAGCATTCTCTGGTATACTTCTAGAATCAGCATTTTGCCCAGTAAAAGTGTGTTGGTGGAAAATTATTATAATATCTGTGGTTATTTGCTTTGAAAGATCAGGCAGCAGATAGACACCATTGCCATAATACCATAGAGTATTCATCCGAGACCCTAGCGATTATACTTTTCCTAATTTTGGTGCTCATTCACTCCCTTATTACAATATATGTGGTTATTTGCTCTGAAAGATCGGCCAGCAGATAGACACCATTGCCATAATACCATCCAAGACCCTAGCGATTATACTTTTCCTATTTTTGGTGCTCATTCGCTCCCTTATTACAATATATGTGGTTATTTGCTCTGAAAGATCGGGCAGCAGATAGACACCATTGTGACCAATACCATAGAGCATCCAAGACCCAAGTATTTATACTTTTCCTATTTTTGGTGCTCATCCTCACCATTAATTGTAATTATGTGTTTTTTTTCTTCAAGTTCATGCCGCAAACCCCGTGAACAAACTAACCCTGTTGGTCCACTTTGCTGCAGCTTCCTGTTTTCAGCCGGACTCCTTTACGAGGTTGACAAGCTCTCTGGCATGATCCTTGCAAGGAGTGATTCTAAGGTGAGGCGGCACTAAAGCACAGAAGATGCACAGAAGAGATGATATATTCATGTATGATGACGTATTTTGTATGTCAAACTGGAGTGTTAGTTCGTGCCCTCCATCGGAGTTGAACCCATCAGGCCTTTTCTGCTAGGCATATATATAGGGGCTCTGGATTCTGGATACTGGTGCGTTTGCACCGAGGTCACATTCTGATGTTTGTCTAATCAATTGACTAATTTACCACCTTTTGCTGGTTCCCGGATATCATTTTCCATTCGCCATACTGGCGGTGCATTGCACCTATCTGTGTGTAATATGGTTTCGCCATGTTTTGTCGCTCATCTGTTTATCCACGCCGTGTTTTTTTTTTGGTCTTGTCTTTCGGTGAAACGCGAGGACTGTAGACTCGCTTATGGAGTGTATGAGGCTGGCCGCCTGGCTGGTGAGCAAATTGGCGCTGCTGTGGGCTGTGGCGCTGGGCCTGGCCGGCTGGTGCGGAGAGTCGGCGACGGCCAGTCCAATGGGCGGTGTGTGATCCGGAAACAAGGGCATCCAACCGGCAAGCGAAAAATAAGAAGAATCTGTACCTAATATTATTTAGGCAAAATTTCTCTCCACTCACCTTTTTTATCGTCCGGCCTTCCTTTAACGAATCCTAATCCAATTAGATCTCTCCGATTCCGACTAATTTAAATAGGAATCTTAATAAAAAAATATGGGGCTCTTGCGTTTGTATCTTTGTTTTGTATCGAAATTGTGATTTTGCCCCTATTTTTTTGACTTTGTGAATTTACCCCTACTGTGCCATTCACGAAGCATCAGTTTGTCCCTGCTCCGTCATCCACACCTAACGGTGTTAAACTTTGTATAAAAGACATGAATGCCCATGCGATTTTGCCTCTTGTTTTTATGCCTAATTGTGATTTTGCCCTATGCGCGCCGAGGCTGGTTTGCTGCTTGTGGCCTTGGTCGACCGTTCGCCATGGCGCTGCCCCCGGAGATGTGGTGTTGGGGCCTAGCACTGGGCGCAGGTCAGGTCGGTGTGGTGGCTGGGGAGTGAGGCGGGGCGCCAGGAGCGGGTCGGGCCGCCAGGCGCCATGCCGAGGACTTGAACGCCACGGGAGGAGGCGTGGATAGTGCACGGCAGCTCGATCTCGTGCTCGGTCCATTTAAAGCGTGACTGAGGCGGCTCTACAAAGACCAGGCGACGTCGCGAACTCGGTTGGCCAGTTCTTGGCGGTGGGAAGTTGGCAGCCGGCGGCGGGGACACGCTGGCGGAGAATGGGAGCCATGGGGATCTGCTTTCGTCCGTCGAGATGTTTCGGAGACGCCACCGCCGCCAGCTGCTCGTCCATCGAGCACACACCGGAGCTGAGGACGTCGGCGAGAAGCGTCGTCGCCGAAGTTGCTCGTCCACCGCGGACTCCTTTTCGCTTTCGAATCCAAAGCGAGCGCGAAAGCAGCAGGCGACCCTCATGGATCCCTGGCGGGGCAGATCCAAAAGCGCAGGCGGTGGAGGGCTACTGGGCGGCACAGGGACGGCAACAGCGGCAAACCTCGTGGCCCCGGGGAGCGCGCGCACAGGTGGAGGGCGGCGGCGCTGGGGTGGAGGGCGCTGAAGGAGGGTGGCGGGCACTGGGTGGAGAGCGCCTCGCGCTCGCCGGGAAGCTTCGCTTCGCGTGGATGGGAGCTCACGGAGGAAGCTCGCGCAACCCTAGCCGGCAACGCAAGGGACGAAGTGGGCGCCAAGTGTAAGGAGGGAGGAGGAGACGCGGGGGAGCGGGAAGGAGGGAGGATGAGCCACGCCGGGGGGAGGCGGGGAGGAGGAGGAGGAGCTGCCAAGGTGACGAGCCCGCCCCGCCAGCCAGGAGCCGTTCAACTGCTATGTGTGTGTGCAGGCCGCCAACGCCGCCGCCACCGGATGCCCCCGACGCCCCGGTCGATGCAAATAGCCCGTGAGAAAAGGCACTGAATATAAGGATAAGGGGCAATTTGGTCTTTTCGCCTTTGTTTTTTCAGATTTTGAATTTTTTAATTCATTTATTCCATGACCATCTGACGACATCCAAACCAGGGGCAAACGGATGATTCAATCTAAAATAGCAAGGGCAAAATCACAAAGTTGAGAAAACAAGGTCAAAATCACAATTAGACTAAAAATATATATCTATAGATATTATATATATTATATGTATGTGAATATAAGGACAAGAACACCATTTTTCCAAAAAAATATATATCTATAGATATTATATGTATGTGAATATGAAAATTGTTTGTATTCGTGTGTCACTTGAATATATGTTTTGGATAGTTAGAATCCTAACCTAAATAGATCCATCCGATGAGAACGCGAATAGAAATTCTAACCTAAATGCAAAAGGCTAAAAGTTTTTTTTTGGCCAGGTCACGTACCGAAAAACCTAACAACGTAAGGCAGAAGTCATGTTTTATAGCAGCCGTATATACAGTGCTCAAACTATTTCCGTGTGCGGTGGAACCGAAGGTGTGTCCTATATACTCCTATCTGTTTCCTGCCATAAATAAACTATACATCGTCTCTAATTTGGTAAAAGCTTATTTAAACCCAGTCTTTTTTTTTTGCGACGTTATTTAAACCGAGTCGGGACCTTCCACGTGCACGCAAACGACCAAACCAACATGCAATCGTTAGACTTGGCCATCCAAAGTCCGTTTCTTTTTTTTTTTTTTTGAACCTGGGTATATTTTTTATTAAAATAATCATCATCTGGTGTGCGTGTTGATCTTTCATTTCCTTGCAATTCTTGCCCTTCTCTTTACTCATGTGTAGTCGTGTAGATTCTAGAGTACGAGGCCTACATGTTTCTCGTCTAGATGTATGTCCCTTGCATATCGGCTCTTGCTTGCATGTTTGTTTCTTGTACATGCGCATAAAATCATCAACGCCTTGTCACCAGGATTCAATCTACATATGATAAACCGTTATTATCTTCGTCATTGTACTGCCCATTGCTCATAAAACTATATACTGAAACAATTTTGACTGCGAACAAGTGTATCAAATAAAAAAAACAAAAAATGAATTGGAGCATATTTACAATTTTCTCTTAATAATGAAGCCTAAAAGGAGGTGATCCAATTAGGTCTAGGCCATGTTAAATTGTTTAGTATTTGTTAAAAATATTTAATTATTTATTGGAGTTGGACATGCATATTTTTTTTATCCCGTTGCAAGGCATATCTGCTAGTAAATAACTATTAGGAAACATAAAGGGCCGAGAAAACCTGCCGAGCCAGGTTAAATCTGGCCTGATCCATTTACTCCGCTACGATTTTCTCCAATGGGCTTCAGCCCATACACTTGGGGTCTGGGCCCTGAATTCCCCAGGAGCCGCTTCGCGGCGCCCTCTCTGAAACCCTAGACGGCTAGACCTTATATCGCTATATATACCCAAAATCGAGTGAGGGACTCAGGGACTGCACCACCGTAGCAGCAGCCGCAGCCGCAGCCGCAGCCGCCGCCGCCGCCGCCTCTGCCCATTCCTTCCCTCCTTGGCTCCTTTGGCATCACGTCCGGCTGCGGCGGTTTCGACTTGGACAGCTGTGGTCGCACCCTTCTCGCCCTCGTTTCAGCTTTCTATTTTTTTTTTAATCTCGTTGTTCGCTTCTGTTGTCCGGCGCTGGTTTGAGGAATTTTGGGGGCCGTTGTATCGATGCAGATGAGGAGACACAAGTTTTAATGGGTAATTTGCGTCTGAGGCATCTCTGTGATGTCACACCCTTTTTCACCTTGGAGATCTGATGCATCCTCAGTTGCTCCCTACGGCCCCTTGATCCGTCTGCTTGTTTGTGCTGAATTCTGATTCCGTTTTTTGCTTTGGTTATCGCTTCTTGATGTGTTTGTGGTCCTGTTTTTTTCTTTTTTTTTTCTCATATAAAATTCTATGGTTTGTTTTTGCGGTGAGGAGATGATGTGATGATCGAATTGTTTCCCTATTGGTTTGATTGGCCGCCATGATGGCTCAAACTGTATTAGCTCTATCTGATCATCTCCTTCGCGATCTGATTTCCATAACCATCAAACCATCTAGTTAATTACTATTTTGTAATTGTTTTAGGAAAGGGAAAATTGGTTTCGTAGCAACGAAAAAACGCGTGATCCAGAAAATACCATCGAAAGTTGGTTGTACCGTACGCAATCTAGCACACTGTAACTTTCGCTGTTAACGTCGTCGTTTGTTGGAGTCGTCCAAGGCTCCAAGCAGCACTTCACCTCGGCTGCCCCGTCGGTCGCTGCCTCTACTGGCCCCCTCGCTCAAGGCTGGCGGCTGCCGTGTTTGTGTCCTCTCCGACGACCACGGCCCCACATGCTGGGAGTGGCCGCACCCCGACCTCCCAAAAGGCCTCGAGGCCCCTCGACTTCTCTCGCATCGGCACTTCACCTCGGCTGCCCCGTCGGCCGCTGCCTCTATTGGGGCCCCTCGCTCAACGCTGGCGGCTGCCATGTTTGTGGCCTCTCTGACGACCACGGCCCCACAAGCTGGGAGTGGCCGCACCCCGACCTCCCAAAAGGCCTCGAGGCCCTTGACTTCTCGCATCGCACTGGGCCGGACTTCCTTCGCGGCATCGGCAAGACGAGCATGAGCTGCTTGGGCGCCGTCGCTCACACCCATGCCCACGCCCTTCAAGAACGTCGCCACCGGCCACCGCCACGCCTACTCCGTCGACACGTAGGGTATCTTTGTCTGCTAGGGCGATGGCGCCGTCCTCGAGGTGCCGACGCACAAGCTGCCGAGCGACATGCTTACCATGACGTTCGGCAACGACCTTGCATCCTCTCGAGCAGCGGCCGGGTCCAGTGCTGGGGCGCCGTCTAGGTGCCGGACTAGTACAGGAACATGGATTTCCTGGCCATCGAGGCCTACGCGACGCGGTGTGCGGCATCCTCAAGAGCAACTACTCCATCGTGTGCTTGGGGAAGGGCGACCGCTTGGGCACCGGCGGCAGTCTGGTCTACAACAGCACCATGCCTGGCGCCTGCGCGTGCAAGAAGAGCTGCCAGTTTGACATCTCCGGCTACGGCACGCTCTGCGGCACCGGTGGCGCAGAGGGCGGCGAGGAGCTCGCCATCTGCCAGGCCTGCGCGATGCCGCCGAACGCTTCCGGGATCTTCATTACCAACGGCAGGGCGAGTACAGGACTAGCTGTCGCATGAAGCCACAGCCCGACCAGCCCTTGTTACGCTGTTCAGCAGCAGCAGGCCTATGGGCATGTCCTTGCTCTACCACTACGCCTGCCTGGTTGATGCAGTGTACAGGTTAGGCTGTGTTTATTCGCGAAATGAAAACTTTTGGATGTCATATCAGATGTTTTGGATGTCGAAAGGGGTTTTCAGATACTAATAAAAAAACTAATTACATAGCTCGTCTGGAAACTACGAGACGAATTTATTAAGCCTAATTAATCAATTATTAGCGCATGTTAGTTTTTGTAGCACTTATGGTTAATCATGGACTAATTAGTCTTAAACATTTGTCTCGTGATTTCTAATCAAACTGTACAATTAGTTTTTTTCGTCTATATTTAATACTCCATACATGTGCCGCAAGATTCGATGTGATAGTTTGGGATGAAATTTTTTGAAAACTAAACCAGACCTTATTCCCCACGTCCTCCCATGGTTCCTGTTTGTTATTAAGTGAGACGAAGGCACCCACGGTGCCAACAAACGACGTAAAGTAACAGAGCACTAGATTGCGGAACGGATACTCACTTTCAATGTTATTTTACGGTGCGATAAACTTTCAATGATATTTTTTGGATCTTCCGTCCTTTCGGTACTATGAAACCAATTTTCCCTCTAGGAAACGATATATTAGTTTGACTTTGAAACTTTTAAGTGACTATTGCTGGTTTCACGATCCTTTTTATTATTGATACTCCCTCTGTTTACAAAAGAATACAAAAGAATGTAATTATAGGAAACGTGCTGGCCAAACTAGTCCTATTCTGTAACTAATCTAACGATGCCTATTTTGTCTCCTAAGTGTTACTCCCTCTGACTCAAATAAATAGATTCCTTTGACCGATTTTCTAGAATAAAACGTTAATATTTATGTTATTAAATTAGTATTATTAGATTTATCATATAATATATTTTCAAAATGTGTTTATTTTATGTTATAGATGTTGTTACTCTTTTCTATCAAGTTAATCAAATTTAAAAAAGTTTGACCGACACGGATTCTAGAAATTGATTTATTTGGGAACGGAGGGCGTAATATTTTTTTCATATAATTTTAGTTAAATTTAAAACTGTTTGACATCTCCAAACGTGAGAATTATTATTTTTTGGGCGGAGGGAGTATAAAACTTCAATGCCTGTCGCAAACAGTTTACGTTCAAACGTGCTCTCTTTTGCCCGGAGAGAGATTAAAATTTATGAATAATAAAGATATTTTGAGGTCCAAGCCTTAAACAGATGGCCATTGAATTTGTGAGCTTACCAGTGGTAGGCCTGTCCGGTGGGACGCTACCCATCAGGTTCAAACCATGGTGATCGCACTTTTTTCTAGAAATTTTTTAGAAATTTCAGCGTACATGCACGCATGCTCGTTCGGCGACGTTGTTTCCTAATCTCTTCTTTACGTGTACGGACGCGCATGCGTGTGCGTGCGTGTGGTGTGAGTGTGAAGTGTGTGAGTTGTACGTCCAAAGTTGTACCCGATAATTTTTATTATTATTATTCAATAATCATAATTATATATTATAAAACAAATTATGTGCAATTTGAAAGACTCGGCAGGCATGAAAGTATTATGACCAAAATGTTGGGATTTGACATCCTGTCGTTGGACATCTTTCGGCACCGCACCTTGGCCTGTTGGATAACCCCAAGATACTGGGCCTGTTGGATAACCTACCCCAAGCTACTGGGCCTGCTGGATAACCTCGTAATTTTGGGCCTGCTGGATAACCTCGTAATTTTTTTTCATGGCTTCTACAAGCATTTCAGTAGCTTACTCGAAAAAAAAAAAACAAGCATTTCAGTAGCACGTTGTCAGAGGACATAATCTCTTTGTCTCCGGAAAATAAGTAAATCGAAAAATCAATAATTTTGAGTTGTACAAAGTATTATAAAAAAATACTAATACTTATGATGTCAAATAATCATTATTAAGTTAACCAATATTATACATCTCATAGTAAACCATGTTAGTGCTATAATGAAATGATTGGTTGACTTCTCGATGTGCACCTACTTTGAAAGGAAGCACTCCCACCCTTGATCCCTTCACCGCAAGGCAGGTGTTTTGTGAATTTGCTTAAGTTTGACTAACTATTTATCAGAGAATATAAATAATTATGATATTAAATAAGTATGATTATATTTATTATGAGATATATTTTTATAATATATTTATTTGAATAACAATAAAGTTTTTACCTATATATTTAGTCAAAGTTTAGTCACTTCAACCAGAATCCGTCCTTTTTTTACAAGGGTAGTACATGGCATTGTATGATTAAAATGTACCATGTGAATAATATATCAAACTTATAATATTATGTAAATTAAGTACTTGTCAGCCGCTAGTCACACCATCTGAAGGCACCTGCAATGGACTTATAAGCTAGCTCTAAGCATTTTTTTTTAAATTTTAGTAGAAGAGAGAGAAAAGCTAGCTTTTGATGAAGAGCTAAGCTCATACACATATTCTAAGAATATGCGAGTGTTATGTGGGTCTAATCACACTATAAGCCATTGCTAAAATCTAAAATCATTGGAGAGGTTGGTTAGGAGCTAGTAACAGACTCTTACTGTTGCGGATGCCTCGGGAGCTCACGTGGACTGTTGAGATATCGTGGAACCTGATCGTCAGCGTATTTGCGGATGCGGTGGCCGGAGGTGTAGCGTCTAGTTGCCTGAAATCGTGATTTCTGTCAATTTTGGAAGATAAACGGCATGTGTAGCTTCTAGTCGCAAATGACTTTTGAAAGAAAAAATTAAAAAAGCTAAATATATTGTCGGGGACCAATATTAGAGTACCCAAAGAGTAGGAGCTAAAAACCATCAACGTTGGTTCATCAGAGCGGTCAAGAGCGTGAGTACACCTTTTGCTGGGCTTCGCCTCGTCCAACCACCGAGGCCATGGGCTCCGCCTCGTCCGACCCCCGAGGGTTGGCTCTACCTCGGTGGACACTGAGGCCGCGGGCTCCGCCTCGCCCGACCCCCGAAGGTTGGCTCCGCCTCGGCTGACTCTCGAGGGTTGGCTCCGCCTCGTCCGACCCCCGAGGGTTGGCTCCGCCTCGTCTGACGTACGAGGGCTGGCTCCGCTTCGGCTGACCCCCGAGGGTTGGCTCCACCTCGGCCGATGTCTGAGGGCTGGCTTCGCCTCGCCCGACGTCTCAGGGCTGGTTCCACTTCGCCCGATCCCTCGGACACGGTTCCTAACGGAAGCTCACGTCACCGCCAACCACTATGGGCCAGAAAGTACAAACCTAGGTTAAACTTCTGGCATCGTGCAGGGAGCGCTCACATCTCAGCACAACCCATCCACACGACATGTCATTCTAGGGAACTCACATCACCCACAGTGATGGACGTGTGGTCACTATGCTGCCTACTCCTTGTACGGTCGCTGGTCAACACGCTGGTTCGTCGCGCCGCCCGTTGGGGCGGAGTGGGACGTGACGACCCGCTGACAATGCTAGGGCATGACATTGTCAGCGGACTGGCGCCCGGCGTGGAACTATTCCTATCACCACCTGTCGTGTTAGCGGGGCCCGCACGCAGGAAAAGAAAGGTTCGGCGACCCTGAAGGACTTCCTCGGCCTCTCATTCTTCTCTTTTCTCCTATTGTAACCCGTGCTTTCCCTTGGCCTATAAAAGGGAAAGCAGGGTGTCCCATTAAGGGGCATCGGTTCATCGCACCGCATCAGATCAAGACCACTAGCATCAAACCTCGAACACATAGCCAAGCAGCGACCGAGCTCTCGACACCCATTCGTTCTTTCCACCAGAGACTTGGGACATGTTCCTCTCTCACCCGTTTATAACCCCTACCACAAACTTTCAGTGCTAGTAACACGAGCAACAATAACGAACTAGATGTAGGGACATTCTGCCCAAACCAGTATAAACCATGTGTCCTCTTAGCAACCCATCCGGGCCATACGTGCAATAATATAAATTTACTCGTTGGTGTTTACTCGGAACACCGACAGTTGGCGCGCCAAGTAGGGGCCTTTGCACGTCCCGATATCAACACCAGGCCTCGGATGGCTAACCACAACCTCAGCTTCGAGGACCTGGACTCCATCATCATGGTGGAGGGAGAATTGGCATCGGCTCCCGCCGCCATCCGACATCTCCCCTCTGTCGGCCTCGACTCAATCACCGAGGCGCTTGAGGAACTGTGGCTGCACACACCGGGGGCCCGAGCCCCTAGAAGCAACCAGCTACTCGACTTCGACTACGGGAGGTTTGAGCTCCAGCCCGGCGTCTTCCTGGGACCTCGGCCATCCCGGGAGGACCTACGCCACCTCACCTTCTCATTCGCCAACATCATGGCGTAGCTCGCCGGAGGGGAGCCACTCTCTCTAGAATACCTCATTCGGAGCGCCCCGATAGTGCACCCACTCGATCTCCGTAATGCCACAGAGACCGACG